AAGAAAAAGAATTTCATCATTTCTCTTCCTTTCATTTTTTTTTTCTATGATTGTCATAGAAAAAAAAAGTTCTCATGTGTACTTTTTTTTCTTCTTTTTATTTAAGTCAATATGTTTTTATTGTTATGTATGTTCCGTCTATTTTAAGTACACATACAACATATGAGTAGACAACTTCGATCAATAAATAATTGATCGAATGAAAAACAATTATTTGTGTTTATTTAAGAAAAAAAAACGGAATTTATAAAATGTTAGAAAAACAATCGAATGGATCAGTTGTATGAAAACAACAAGTCTATTTTTGATAATGCACTAACTATGTCTCCCCTTTTTTTTTTCTATTCGATTGTGATTAATGGACAATGATAACCTTTTTCTTTCTGATGACTGACATCTACTATAGACGACTCAATATAGTATGTGAAGATTTTTTGAGTACGTATATTTACGTTATTAAACCACCTGCTAAGATCGTCTTTTACACAATAAACACAAAAAAAACAAAACAAAAAATAATTAATTTATCTATAACATTTTATATCTAAGTTGTTTTTAATAAAATTTTTGAAGTCAACTACTTATACTCATCTATAGACTATCAAAGAAATAGATAATTTTTATCTTTATTGTTTACCTGAAAAAGCTTAAAATAAAAATATGCTTTTTTTAGATAATTTTAAAAATAAATTTACACAAGGCATTGACTATTTGATAGGGGACATGAGATATGAAGCAACAAAAGCATAAGCAAATAGTTAGTCAAAACAACATACGAAAATGATAATTTTATAGTTGTTTTGTTCTACAACAAATATTTTTGCTCTCATAATTGAATGTGATTAAGAGACTATTTTTATCTCATATTTGTAACCAAAATGTCATGACAGAACCTTATTTTCATAAGATGATTGATCTTCGTCTGCAGAAAAGAACTTCTTTGGTGTCATATCAGATAGCTAAATGAAATATAGTTATTGACGTCAGAACTTGTGAAAGCGGTAGAGTAGTGCATATCTCCTGATAATTGAAAATTATTCGTTATTGTCTAATAAAACTGGCAAGATTTTTTTTTTAAATTTTATTACTCTAGTGAGACATTTTCTTACTCCTCACAATCTTAGGATTCTTACGTCGTCTCTAATTAGCATATAAATAAACAACAACAAAAACAAACAAACTATTCGAATAGATAAGACAAAAATTTAAAGATTATTCAAAATGCAAATAGACATAGAACTATTTTGAAATACGTCAAACAATTTATAGTATACAGTTAAGTGAGATATCAGATAGAGAGCTTATATTTATCTCAACCTCTTGAGCTTACATGTCATTCGACATTAGACATGTGTGATATTTAAGTAATTGACAAAGCGAATGTTTAAAGTTAACATGACGAAGACAATAAATGAGATAATGGCTCATTGACAGGACTATTGATTTTTTTTTTAAGATAACCTATCACGATTAAATCTCACTCCAATTCTCTATTTATATTTATTGTTTTGGAATAAAAAAAAATCTTTCAGATATAATTAAACCATTTCTAAATCATAATCCAAGAAGAAAGAGCTTGTCGTTTAATGATAGTGAAATTACGTTATTGTAAGAAGTAAGAATTATTTTGTCATCAAAATAAAATAGATAAATCATCATTATTAGATTTTCATATTTTATTAGAATATATTTGTCTGTTAAAATAAAATGAAATGTATGCTGATTAATATTATGGCATGTTATAAAGAATACAAAATAATTTCTTGAGAAAGATATAAAGTGTCATTTCATAAGTCAAGTCATTTCTCAACATCAATTATATTTCAATCTAGATAAAACTTCTATGAAAATATGAAATTAATATCGGAAAATGTTGAATTCTCATTATAATCAAAATAATTGAAATTTTACATCGTCTCAATACGACTCCGTTTTTGTTTTCAATATAGATTATTTATTGTCAATATTATATAAATAAAAATAAAATTCCATGTATGAACTAAATGAAATCGATCTTTTTCGTACAATTCGTTTCAAATTCTTAATGTTAATTTGTAAACTTGCAATTTATTTTATGCAGAATTTTTTGCTCTATAAAACAGTCGATTTTGTTTTTTCAGTAAATTTTTCTTACTTGCACGGACTTCAAACAATTCTCAACAAGTTAATTTACTTAACTGAGATTTGTTTTTTCTTTGCAGATCTTTTCTAAAATTATGTCAGCTTTATGATTATCAGATCTGACATAAGATACATAATATATTATATAAAAATTTATAGAACATTCTAATTTCATTTTTTTTGACCTTTTTATTTATTTCTTCTTGATTATCTTACACAAACAGATGAAATATTTATTTGTGTATGTGACTTAGATTTTGACATTTCATTAGGAAAGTGTATATTTCAAAGTCAAAACCGATTCAATTCAACATGACAATTACTTGTGAACAAATGAATACTATAAAAAAATTTCTATGAAGAAAAAGTGAAATTAGAAAGAATCTCTAAACAAAATGAAATCTTTTTTCAATTTCTACACATTTAATTATTCCAAAGTGGTAAGCATTTACAATTCCCAAGTTTTGAAATATACCAATAAAAATACAGAATATCACGAAAAATATTCTGACATCGGTTTAATATCAATCAGTCTTCTGTTAAATATTTTTCTAAGTATAATCGTAAATTTCTATTGTAAGTAGTCAATTTCAGATCTCCCAATCATTTACATTTTGAATAAACTAACACAAATTTTATTTTAAAAATTATTATGTCAAACATTGAATCAGTTCAAAATAAGGCTTGAATATTTTCATCGAATTAGTTTGAAATTTTAATTTTTCAAAAGTTCTAATAGAAATGTTAAAGTCTGAATTCTATCAACAAGCTTATCTTCTTTTATGAAGGTGAATATTAGATACAAAAAAAAAACTTAAAGATATCCTGTTATTTTTTTTTTACACATCGATTCTAAGGTCAAATTAGACTCATACTGAGATATGTCAAATATCTATCTGACTAACATAAAGGAGCTCAAGGAAAAAACTCACATAATTAAAACAAATGGCACAATTACTTTTTAAGCATAATCTATCACTATATCACGTTATCTCAAATAACACTACAGTCTTTTTTTTCTTGTTCCTATTTAAGAGAAAACCCAATGCTTTTAATTGTATCATTTCTAACTCACTATTCAGAAAAGAGATAAAAGCATTTCAATTTTTTTTCATGCCAAATCGTAAAAATGTTTCATTTTTGTTTAATAATAATATCAAGGAAAATCAAAGCCAAAAGAAAAAAACATCATGATTTTGTGATGGTGAAGTTATGATTTTGACGACGTGCCTTTTACTAATACAAGTAGACAGTCACGAATCTAGCAGGAAAGTGCGGGCGGTGATCGTCTTCTCCTTTGAAATTGATGTGTGCTATGTCCTAAATATCTTTGTATTTTTATGAGATTTACAGAAACAGATAATATGCATTTCTCACTAGTTTAAAGTTTATAGTGCTTATATTTTGAAATGAAAGATTTCAGAGAAAGAGAACATATTATATGTATATATGCTCTACATAGTGTTATTACTTGTATCAAATATTCTTTTTCTTGTTGGATATGACTGCTATTTTCGTCATACAGCCGATGAGCATTTGAATAGTTTTGTATTGAAATACCTAACGGTCATGTTAACGGTTTATTTATGCTTGCTCTGTCAATGGTTAGTAAGTATAGGATTCAGTAAAAATATCTATGCAATTCATGTTTCGAATCATGTTCGACGCAGTAGTATCTTCTTTCCAAGTATCAAAGTTCATTTTCAAATTTATGCAACGTTACCAGTGACAACAGCGACAGATGAGAGAAGCTTTTTCGACATTAAAACTGATTAAATTATATCTTCAAAGTACCGTAGTTGAAAATCAACTAAACAGACTAATCATGATGTATGTGCATTCCATCATTTACATAGATATCGAACAAGTTATCGAGAACTTTTCAAAAACGAAAAAATACAACACTAGAATTTCTTGTATGATTTTTTTTCTTACTTATTTTTTTTTTCCATAGACCACAGCATATATTTGAATAGTCGATAACAGAAAATATTAGAAAAATCATCACAAAAACTGTCTATAATCTGCTTCTGTTTTCCACCTATTCCAAAATTTTCTGAATTCGATCCTGGAAGTAGATAAACTATCATTTTCGGACCTCAGTATATTGTAAGACTACGAAAAGTTGATAAATATTGAAACAAAAAATTGATATTGAATAATATCATTTCACATTGTATAGAGAACACAAAAACGATATTTCTTACGAAAGCTACAAAGTATGATCGCATAAATCACATCATTTGTCAACATCAATTATATATGAAATCTAGACTAAGACTTCTATATAACTATGAAACTGACATGTGACAACATTAATTTATTCCTCACAACTCTTATTCCATTCCTACACAGGAACATTATGTTGTACGGTGCCAGGAACTTAAAGTTTTTCGAATGTAAAGTATTACAATGCTAACTTATCTTCAATGGTTTTTTTTTCGCATCAACTTCAATTCATCACATAAAAGATCTTCAGCATAATCATAATTGTATTCAAATAGGCACTCATATACTACTCATTAATATAGTTCTTCATAATTCTGTCTGATTCTAGTATAATAAAAACTAATGTTTATATCGTGAATAAGATATAAAAAGATATTCATCATCCAAAATATGAGTTAATAATTCGATGGTTTCACTAATAAATATTTTTTTAATAATATTTTTAGTAACTTCATAAGAAACCTTTTCTGTTTTTATACTATTGAGTCTTTCATATCATAGAAATTCTTGAAAAGCAAAAGAAACGTTTACCATCAATATATATCATCCTTAAAGAAAAGTTATCATCCTTTATTAAACAATACAGCTGGCAATTTAATAACACAGCGACTATATATAAACATGAAAACGGAAATTTTTATTAAAAATGCTTATTTTTTATGATTGGACATTAAATGAAATCCTTGCTGACTTTGTAAAATAAATTGCTCATTTGGCTTCATTTTTTGAACATCAATCACATGTACTTTTAAAGTCACTCTTGGGTGTGATAATATCGCATTTCGTTGAATTTTATTTGCCATCAATGGATACGTATTTGATCGCATATCGGTTTTCCCAATTATTGATTTTGTTCGAGGTTGAAAATATGTTTTATATGCCGTTGATTTAAACTTTTTTGTCATTGAATTTGTTTGTGGTACACTTTCGAATTTTCGTTTGATTTCATCATAATTAAAAATATATTCTTCATTGTTCATCATTATTCTATATTTTTTCGTTTGTATTGCTCGAATACTTCGTATTTATACTGGGTAAAATTGGAAAAATGATGACTTCTTATATTTAATCATACATATGATAAACATCATCGACTGTTATAAAAAAAAATTAGACTGGTATTGTTATTCTCATTTGTTATGCTTTTTCATTCATTAATATGTTCTGCTAATTGTTTTGTTACGCATTTCATCCATAATGACGACTGAGCAATCGTTTGGTGCGATTAATTATCGTTGTTACTCGAATCAAGTGTTTCAATTAACAGTGTGAAATTGAAGGGAAACATAGCAAAGAGAGAGAGAGAGAGAGAGGAAGAAAAAAATAAAAATAAAAACACAAACAAAAACAAAAACACAATTGACAGAAAAATAAAAATTATTTAAACAAAAAAATGTTGAATAATGCTATCAATGGTGTTCTTACAAAAAGCAAAGTTGGATCAAAACCATTTCAACATAGAATATTTAATGATATGATTAAACGTAATCAATATTATGAAGACGTTGAAAAAACAAAATATCGATTGGAGAAATCCGCACCAAATGTACAAGATGTTAATCATACAAATATAAAACGAGTGAAGACAAAGAAAGTTGATCAACGAAAAATCAATCATGTTCTTCCTGAACCCAGAGATTTAAATCGGCGATACAAGTAAATATTATTAGAAAAATACTTAATGTATAATTAGAATTGCATTAAGTCTTAAAAGTCAAGAATAGAAAATGAATATTACTCGTTTGAACATTTGTGAAATTAGAACAGAAAATATAGAATACCATTGTTTCTATTGTAAATGAAAAGGTTCTTAGAAATATTTTTTGAATTTTGCGAGGAAAAGGTTTGAACTGAATTGCATTACAAAGTTCATCATTTTTATTTCTATTCATAATGATGTTTCGAAAAATATCCTATGAAAAAATATTTTAGTATAATACTTCGTAACCATAGAAGGATATGATTTGAACTGACATAGTGACGCTTTGAAATAAAATGTTTTGAAGAAAAAAATCTTCTGTTTATTTTGTATTATAATAAGTTATTGTGATTTTTTTGTTGTTGTTATTTTGAAAAATATTTATTAAAAGAACTTATGAAAGGTGTTGAATTTCAGTAAATTTTACTGAGAATTTTGATGTGGACATACTAGTATGTTTTATTTAAGTTTAAATTTATTTCGAGTCTGTCAAAAGTCAGAAGAATAGATGAGTATCGTAAATAAATAGATATTGACTTCAGCAAAATGTGAAAGAGTTCAAGAAAAAAAATTCATTTGAATCCAATTTTTTTATATTTTTTCGAAACTCTATAGTATCAAGTATCTCATAACTATTGAAGCCTTTTATAAATTGATTAACTGCGCACCATACTCGATCGGGAACAGAATCGAAATGCTCGTTTCTGTTGTGTACTATCAAAGAAATAATTTTCAAGTAGAACATGTGTGCTCTGAGTACTGTAGGAATAGATATTTTTAAAGTTCTCTTTCAAGTAAATAAATAAGAATGTATAGGAAATAAGGAAGGCATTATAATTTCTCTTCGAATGGACCTCTATTTAGACAAGAATTATCATATTTACAAAGTGATAAACGTGATAATGAACGTGGTTTAATACATCTGAATAGTGATCCAATTAAAATATCATCACGTCCTTCGATTAATCAATCTTCATTAGTTTATCAAAATAAAAATTCATCCCTAAATCATAAACAACGTTTATCATCAATTAGTGAAGAAAATTCATTGATACGTATTATCGAAAAATCCCCATCAGTTTTCGGATGTTCATCATTAATAAATCAAAGTCAAACATCACGGAATCACATAATACCAATTCACGAACGATCATCAATGAATAAAATAAATTCAAGCCAACAACATGATCGGTGGTTACGTAAATACAGTTTTCAACAAAATATTGCTAAAACAAGTGATGATCGTTTTTTTCTTCAACAACGTGCTCATTTAAATAACCAACAAAAACGATTAATTGAACAAAAATTAAAAGAATTTTTATATTGATTTTAATTATAACATCCCTTTTTGTGTAATAACAACATTACACTATATTTTGTGCCGAGAGAGTGTTTTTCTATTGGAAAATTCAAGAAAAATTGTTTAACCGTTGTTTTTTATTGTTTCATATGTCGACCATAGTGTTTGGATTATAACACGAAATTGTTAAAATCCAGAAAATGATCCTTCCCAATATGATTCTGCATCGAAAAAGATCAATCCATTACTAGACTCGATATCTCATGTATTTTGGCAGTCTCAATAAATGTTTTTAATCTGAATTCTTTTCTTTCCAATGCATCATGAGTGACTGTATTTATTATACTCAATCAGGAGTCACACGATGAAAAAGAAACTAATAAGATTTCAATGCAAAAAAAGAAAACATAAATGAGAAAAGAATTATTTTCTTTTTTGAAAGAATACAGCCGCTTAGATACTAGGAGCTTGTTTAGATTAAGAATAGCACTATTTTTTCCAAAATAAAGATAGATCATTCACAACATATATCGCTGCTAATAGATGGCATCTATGCAATCTGAAGTGTATTAGAACGTTGGCTATCAGTTCTAAAATCACTTGAATGACTACATTTGTTGACGAAGAGACAGTTTATATAGAAAAAAAAGGATATTGTTTAAGTTCTATAGTGATGTTGTGAAGGTGCAATGGTAAGGTTGAGAGTTTGAGAGTCTTTACATCATTCACAGTCTCACAGCTTGATCCTCACATCATCTTGAAACAGCATGTAAAATAAAATTTGAAATAACACATTTTTCGGTTATAGAAATTCAATAGGTGTGACAGCTATATCGAATGTATCCTCTCATTTGCAAACGTAAAATCGAAAATTCAAAGATTGTTAAATTCAATTTTACTTCATTTTTCAATGAATTTGAATTATTCAGATTAAAAAACAATTTTAGACTTCAAATTTTCGTTCTTTAGTTTATTATAAGCCATTTTAAAAATAATCCAAAAATTGAAATCTTCTGTTTTTATTATTTAAAAATAATTACTGGGACAAATTTCAACTGTAGTTTTATTTTGAACAACTAAAATTTGTAGAGTTCGCTTGATATATGCTTGCGACATTTCAATCTATTCAGTTGTTACTGGTAGAGTGCGCTAAACTACGTAGTACTCTTCTTTTTCTTCTCAATTAACTGTTATATTTAGAGTTCATGAGACAGAATTGTCAGTATGAATGCCATAAGCCTTTTTTTTCGTATTGGAACACTATTTATTTCGTATTAGAACATGAAATCAAGCATTCATTGGAAACAAACTAATTGCAATACACCAATAACTATATGCGACAAGGAAAAAATGTGGAAAAAGATGTGAACATAGAGAAGTTAAAATTTGGGTATCGGTATTCAAATTCTCTTCAAACATGCATACACTGAGGTCACATTTTCAATAAACATTGAATAAACTTTCTGAGTTATGATAAAACCGATATTAAATCGACCTTCGATCTTAATCAAAATTATCATTAATCTAAGCCAAATTCAACCTTCCCTCTTGGTCGTGCTGCGTGAGTGTTCTTTTCTCAATACAAGAAGTAAATAAATTGACTTGTTAATAGTAGTCTTGATTAAGATTAAGATTCTTCGTATTTAAGCCTAACCAACGATGTTACTACGTTCGAAAAAATTTTTTTTTTTATAAAAAAACACCTTACGCGATCAACTTATTTCAGTGACCTTGTTTAAAATAGCATAAAATTTCGTTGATCTTTTTTTAAAACGATTTATTGGACACTACGCATATCATTCATCAAATCTTCTTTTTAGTACAGAGTACCAAAATTCATAATTTATGCAAAGTTAATAAAACTTTCCACATTAAATCGCCAGAACTTAAAAAATAGTGTTGTTTTATTGTAAATTAAGTATAGTCATCTTCCACAATCAGAGGTAGCACTTTGAGACTGCATTCACTTAGTTTTAAATAGATTATATTCGACACTTAGAGGTCTTTCTACATTTAGTTAGATTTCTATTGCATACATTAGCGAACACTATATACGTCTTTTCTAAACTAAATACGTTTTGAATTGAAAGTTATAATTTTTAAATATGATCACTTATCATTGAAAACTTCAAAATTAAAATAATTAAATTTTAGTCAATTTTAAAAAACAAAACAATTTAAGTTCATAACTTTATTGTTGACTGAAGTTTTAAAGTCTTGATAATATTTTAAAATTTTATTTGACTTATGATCGCAAATGAGAAGTAACCTCAAAATCTACATGTTTTAATAGACATAACACCTTTTTCAGCATATAATTGAATGGGATAATCATAGATTATTTATCTGGAAAGATTAAATTTTTTATATAAATAAAATAATTTTCATTTGTTTCTACTGATTAATAAAAACATTACAATTATATTGAAGAATTTTTCAATTTTATCTTTCATTTTTTCTTTTTCAGCTAATTCTAATTCAGTTACTTTAGCAACTGAATCAACGCGCACAAATGAATCAGATACTTTTATTTTATTCGTATCCATTGGTGTATTTACAATTAAAATACGAGCATTTTCAATACGTTTTGGCATATTAAGAGCAACACATTTTTCTAATAGAAAGCCTGAAAAAAAATAAAAATTATATTTTTTGGTTAATTAAAATAAATATTTTCTTACCTTCTTCAAAATATGAATCATTAAGATTATTTCTTAAATGTTTTATTATTTGAATACCTTGTAAATCAGTTTTATTCTAAATAAGATAATTTTTATTTTTTTGATTAAATTAAATGGAGATATTTACATGTAAGTTTAATACAGCATCAACACATAATTTCGAAAAATGATCTTTTCTTCAAGAATTTTTGAACTAAGGGTTATACAAGCAATATTCATAAGATCACTTTTAAATTGTTCCAAATTTGAACTAATCAAATAAATATAAAATGCGACATTCGTAATGTCTTTTTGTTCTGTTGAATCGAAAACATGTTCATTGGTTTTTTTGCGCTCTGGAGGAAGTTTTCGAGCTAGTCTATGGATTGAACTCCATTCTCATTTTCTTAGATTTTCCTTTTCTGTGATGTTTTCGTGATTCTAATCGTATTACGATCACAACTTGTTGTCGTTTCATAGTCGATTGTTAAGACAAGCCTACGTGAAGTTCGACGTTTCTCGTGTATATATATATATATTATGTGTATGCATAACGTTTTATCGTCCATGTCATAATTTTTGTGTAAATGGCAAGGGGGAAACAGCAGACTTGAAGTAGAAAAGTACGGCAAAGTACTTTACTTGAAGTAGGCTTGAAGTAAGCTTAAAGTAGCTTGAAGTAATTGCAAGTAACTTCAAGTAAATTTGAAGTTGAAAAGTACTTCAAAGTACTCTACTAGAAGTAGGCTTAAAGTAGCTCAAAGCAGCTCAAAGTAGTTCAAAGTAGCTTAAAGTAGCGCAAAGTACTTGAAGTACAAAAGTCTGCTGTTTCCCCCTTGGTAAATGGCCTCAAAAAAGGCATTGCTTTTTACAACAAGTAAAAGGTTTGAATTCATTTCTGTGAGAGAGGCTAATAAATAGTTGTTTAAATTTTTGTTTAGACAAAATTGCTTTCATGGAAAAACCTGAACAGCATCGTCGTAAAACTCGTATTCGACAACAACAACAAGAACAAATACCACAATAGAAACAATAAATACAGGAATGGTGCCAATAACAAATACAACAGCATCACGAACAAGTACAAGAACAGCTACAACAACTACAACACTTAAAGAGGAGTACGATCGGCTAAACTTACTGTTGGAATAACAACAAATATAAAACAAGAACCGATACATATGTAGTTGTTGTTGATTTTTTTTGATTCTGTCGTTGTTATTATGCCTGTTTATCATGAAAAAGTGCCGGTGTCTTATCCATTTTTTATGTGACATTAGGTTGCACCCTATGAAATGCTATTTTTCTGTTTTTGTCAGATAAACCTACATTTTCTGAAAATAAACATTTGATACACAACATAGTGGTCTTGTATTGTTGATGGTCTGCTACTACATAATCTGACTCAGTCCATGTTGTGCCGTTTTCATATAAATGTGGGACTGAAATTTAATACTGAAACTGCTGGAGATTTCAATGACAGTTTATCGGGGTTCCTAGGAATTGTTTCGGCAGCGGATCTATAAGTGATTCTGTGATGCCTGAATAAAGAGCAGTTTCTTATGGGCATCCACAAGCCGGCACAAGTCACTTATCAGGGATATTATCACTAAGCGACACACCTATCCATCAACCTATTCATCCATTCACCGACAGAATTATCTACCAATCTATCTTTCTACCTAACCACCTATCTATGTATCAACCTACTTAACTACCTGTCCATCTATATACCTATCTAAGTATCTACCTACCTACCTACCTAACTCTCTCTCTATCTTACTATCTACCAATCTATCTAGAGTGTGGGTGTTGAGTTTGGGAGTGGATATGTGAGTGCTACTGAAGAGAACAATTACATCCACACCCACACCCAAAACATTTGAAAAACATTTCAAACTATTTAAAAATAAAAAACATTTGTTTCTTCTTATTTATATATTAAATATCAATCTTTGATTCATTTATTCTTTTATCTTCACTTTTACTCTCCTTACGCTCTGACATCACCATCACCCACCCTCTTCCTCATACCCCTAGACAAGATCGTATCCATTGCTTCAATTTTGACAATGAGGTCGACAGCCAGGTGGAAAACTTCAAAGAGAAGAATATTCTATATGATGGAAACTAAATAAAAGATGGAATTTTTTTCATGTTTGTTTCGTGCATAACATTAATGGCAAAATTGATAATTATTAGAGAGACTTGAAAGATGCAGGCAACAATGATGCAGCCAGGATTTGCGTACTTTATTTTGTTCTCTCTGTTATGTGGATCACCTCGATGGAATATAAAATATAGAATGGAAAAACCACTGACACAGAGGTCTAGAACCGCTTGAGTCAAATAGATGATATTATCTTTTGAATTCTCCTCTGGCTGAGGATCCAGGCAGCAAAGAATTGACAGATGAATAACAACATGAGCAGGACACAACACATCACCGGGGTAACGTGAAACCAGTCTAGACGAACATTTCTTATAGCTTGCCAGATGAAGTAAAAAAGAATACACGCTATATTGATGGGCATTTGTGAGAAAACAGCGTTACGAAAAGCTGGACCTTCATTATAGCTCTTGGTAAATGTGTTGTCTCAATTGTGTCAACAGATGATTTGTGTGGCATACTCAGAGATATAGAAGAAAATCATCAAGAAGAAGGATATACATCGACATCCGTTCCAGTGCTGTTTCATAGGAGTCCAAAATGGCATGATCGCACAGTCAGTTCTAAGTAATTATTTACTGAAAAAGACACTTTTGTAATTCGTTTCATGACACAGACATGATAATGGAATATTCCAAGGAAAGCGTCTGTTTTTGATATTTGAATCAAGAAAATAACAAAAAAAGCCCAAGACAGAACGGTAACTGGAATAACTGATATGAGTCCTATGACTTTCTACGAAAACAAGTAGCTGTTGCTTCTCTGAAAACCACTTCAGTGTTCGGTTGTTGACTAGTTGCGGATAATGCTCTTTCATCACCAGAGATGGGTGTAGATAACGTCACACTTCATGTGTAGGTGTGGGTGTCGGATGTGAGTGAGTTATAGAAGAACTGCACCCCACACCCACACTCACACCCATAATTCCTTATTTCCTCTTAAAATACTCAAAATCATTTCATTTCATTGATTTCTTCTTATTCAATTCAACAAAGCAACAGTTCTTACTTATTGTTCTCAAACATATTGAAAGTTAGTGCATTTTTCATAAACTTATTCACAAAAATTATTGGTTTTTCAAAAAATGTATCCAAAATGTATTCCTTTTTTCTTAAATTCATTTAAATTTTCTCGGTTTTCTCAAGTTTACTTAAAATTTTCCAATTTTTCTTAAATTTACTTAAAAAATTAGCTCATTTTTGTTCAAATCTAAAAAACATTAAAATGACCAAAAAACATTTAAAATTTAATAAAAATCTAAAACAAAAAAACTAAAATGAAACTTAAAACAAAAACAAAAACAGAATTTATTTGCTTATTCATATTCCTAAAAAAATTGTTCATTTATTTCTCAATTATTTAATAAAGTTATTTATTTATTTATTTATTTATTTATAATTTTTCTTTGGTCTTCTTTTTTGCTCGACCATATTGTTAGTTCACTTTTTCGTTTAAAATCAAACTCACACCCTCCAATACCAATTGTTTGCCGTCTTTCATATGTTAATGATACTCCGTTTTACTCATTGGATATACAGTAACAATTTTGTTTTTTTGATGATCGATAATAAAATCAATTATTAGTTGGAATTATTCCACGTATTGATGACGCATTTCCCAACGGACATAAATCATGCATAGTACAATCGTTAACACATAAAATGAGCATGTGTGCAAATATCATCTGTGTTGAATCCATGTCACTCATAAATCAAGCAACTTACTCGATCAACTTGCACATTCTCGTCATTTATTGAATTCAGAAACAAATGAATGTATTAAACTTATGTTCTCTTCGTCAGTGGATTTTGATCATTTTTTATGTTCTGCTTTTTCCATCTATTGGTGTGGGGGTTCTCGTAATGGTCAATAAGCTTTGGTACAAATTCTTTTCACACAAAATAGTCTTTCAAGATACCACGATATTTTTCTATTGCAATAATAGCTATAAGTTGTTAATTCTCAGTCACAATATGTATCTATTATTTCTTCTCTATCAAAACTACAATTATCGACATGCTTGCTCTTGCCATACTACTCCTGCTATTATCACCTGTGTTTGGAAAACATTTCTTCGTCTTCGCATACTCCTCTTTCTTCTTATCTACAATTTCGTTTATGTCGTTTGGGTTCGTCAAGACATTAAGGATAGCTCTACCCCTACTTTGGATCTTATTACAGCACTTATATGGGACAATATTTTTACTATTCAAATGGTCTTTATTCGACATCGTTTACTGATCTGGACCGTTGCTTTGAATGAAAATAAGCAAACACGTCTTTACATTCGAATTGCTTTGCTTCAAATGGTCTTAGTATGTATGTATAATTTCCTCACCGTTTTTACCGCTAAGGAATATCTTTTGAATGACCAAAGTTTTGCCTTGCGTATTCTCTTCGACATTTATTCGTATATCAACACATATTTCATGATGAACTATTTATTTGATTTTGTCAAGAAATTATATCAACCTGAACATCCTCTGGAATACACGTACGAAATGTTGTCCAAAACTGAAACATTGGCAAATAAACCGGCAATGACAGCATCGTCTGAAAATGCCATCTTTACATCTGCGGCAATAACTGTTGACATCGTTACTTTTGATGGTCTTTGGCTTTGATTGAATGTAATTTAGACTATGTCGAACTAAACTGTTCTTTGTCTCTAATGATCATACGAGTGTTTAGTATATTAAAAAGAATATGGAAAGCACTTTTACACTGTTTCGGTTCATTTTAATTCCTAATTGTCATCAAAACAGTACACATCATAGATAAGAGCTACAGAAGAAAAGCAGTTGAACTGGATTTATTACCGGTGACTCATAGATCTACCAAAGATGATAACTAGAATTGCGTGCACTCTGTAAATAAAGTCGGTTTATTACCGAACTTAACAAGTTTCTTGTTTTTTCATCCAACAATTTCAGATTCAGTGAGATGAAAATCGCTCCGTAGTTTCCGTCCAGAACTTTTAAAGTCCGGTAGATTTTATAGGGTTTCATAAATTTTGTGCAAAACCTTCCGCAAGTTCCGTCGATTGCTGTGAACTTTCTTACATCATGAACTACTCCATAGATCCCAAGTCAAATATTGCTCAGTTGTACACAGCCGTACACCAATCAATTACGACGAAAAATGACAATTGTTTACGGTGGTCGTTTAAACCAATTGTAAACGATTGTTTACGGTCTATTAGAGCCACCGCGTAAACAATCATCGTAGCAAGTGACTCTTAATGACTAGCGTGACAATACAGTGGCTGTAAATGTTGTTCAGATAATATCGTGAGGCATCGCATGCATCAACTATAAATAGTTTAATAATACGATCATCGTTTTCTTTATTTCGGTCCTACAATAGTGAAGTAAAATCGTTCTGAAATATGAATACCTAAGAGCTTTTTCGATCAGTCAATTCGATTGTAGCAAGGGTTTTTTCACAATTGTACGGACGAAATACGATGTCGTTCTGACTGATCTGGAGATTCGCAAGGCTCTTCTTTCATATGGCCGATCAACAGTATGTTTCGTATGTGTTAGGAGAGAGAAGTTACGGTTACCAGCCAGTTATGTTACCAAATATGAAGTAGCAGATAACAGAGAATTCGTCATGATGATTTCTTCATAAGGGAAGAGTGTTTCGGAATAAACCTTGACCAAAAATTTTCGGGATCGAAGATTTCCAATCTATAAGTGGCTTCCCAAAATTCATTATCTTGATTTCTAAATGGAGAATGGATAGTTTAGAGAGACAACGATTTTTCATAAAGGAGATGTATCAAATTACCGACACAGCACACCTAAAGTTTCATGAACGGTTTACAAAGTTCCATTTTACTTTGTTTGTACTGTATCATCTTTTGCCCGGCACTACAATGCACTACAAATTGTTCGTATACAGGTGATTTGAATACAGAATTCTTCATCCATGATAGATACACTCAAATAACATCGGCTGGAAGATGTGAATTTAGATTGACGATTTAGTACCATAATGGAGAGTACA